CCCTTTCCCCGCCACTTCAAAAGAAGGTAAATACATCGAGCGGGTATATTTCCTTACCTTTTGCTCTCTTAGTTTATCGTAAAGAGCTTCCAATCGCTTGGATACATCATCTAGTTTGCGCTTTGTATGCTGCAGACAAAGGAGGCATAATAAATTTCAAAATAGAATGATAAATAAATTTATAAATTTAATACTTATAAAGCGCAAAATTCATTACAAGTATATGATCTAATGCGCTTTATTATAGAATAATAAAGTATGTTTCTTACACAAAATGTTTGGTTTCAGGCTGGGTTTAGGCGTGCTGGGGATGTCATAAATTGATAGGTGAATATCTTAGTGTTGTTTATTTAGTCTTTCTCTTAACTTTGCAAAAACGGTTCTATATGGTCGTCCACACTCTATTTCTTTTACCCACTTATCAAGTTTTGGGTACTCAATACTTTCATATATAGACGTTATCTGCAAACTATATCAGCTCAGTGGTCCGCGGGCGAGAGATCTGCGAAGGTCTCACAAAAGGATAACACCTAGCCTTTCAGAAACCATCCGGTTTGCACACAGCTCATCACTGAGTCGATAACTCCCGCAGTGATGAGCCTCTTACTAACTGACTAGGTAGCTAAGGTAACTTACCTGATTATTAGCTGTGCCTTTGCATCTCTCAGCCAGTCCACTGAAAGTTTCCTGTAGTATCAGGTGTTCAGACGGGATGGGACCCTTCATAACAGGAGCAGGAGGTTCCTAAATAAAACCAGCCTTCATGTAAATCACACTCTACATAGCACTGCATTTATCAAAATTAGGTTCCACCTTAAACATCACGTGATATCCGCTCGCATTATTGTCACAGGATCTGTTCATTCGCTCACATGACTGGACGTGATATGTTGCTGGGTACCGCAGGGAACCCTTTCTATCATAAATTATGATGATGTCAGGTCTGCAAACAGACACTTGAGACATGTAAAATAATCTTTTTTACGCCATGCAGCCTTTTCGACACAACAAACACACGGAAAAGGAAGGGCTGGAGCTTTGTGTTTCAAGATTAAACTCTTGCCATGAACCACGAGCATATTAGAATCCACACCCACATTTGTTACCCCACATTTGTTGAAAGCAATTACACCCTAATGCAAAGATTTTTACCAAGGCAAAATAATTTTCCTCTCATAAAACATTTTGTTGCAACTAGAACGTAAATGGCGTTGCGTGATGTAAATGAAGTGCGAATGAAAAGAGGTGCAAAATTTAAATGTTTGTTTTAAATTATTGTACAAAAGTTATAATTTACAATTATTTAAAAGCAAGAGAAATAAAATGCTTATAGAAGAACAATGGTGTGTTAATTTAAAGTCAATTTAAGACAAAAGTCATGTGGGCGAGCATATATGTTGAAACGTGTGCAATTAAATTCACACACTTGAACTTAACGATCCACCTTTCTTTCGTTTGATTATCACTACTTGAACAAAAAAACATTTCCGACTTGTTATATAGAGTGGATTATTTTCATCTCTAATCTTAACTGGAAAATTTAATATTTAGAGAACGACAATTTTAGAACTAAGCTTAAGAAGCAAAAATGTGTCACCTTTGATTGTTACGTGTCATGAAAAGGTTCTCTTTGTTATTTAAATCAACCTGCGAAACACTTTAATCGTTTTCTTGTCATCAACAACAGAAGAAAAATTTTCTGACACGTTTGTGCAATTTCTCCCTTAGGTGCGGTCGAGCTTGCCATACTCTAAGAAAATTACGCTTGCACTTATTGCGTGCACTGAAGACGTTAAGGGTGTGCGTTTCCTGTTTTGAGCATTTATGGCATTAAAAGCGTGCTTTTACGTGCTTTACCTGAGCAGGTATGATATGTAATGGGTGTGGCATGGGGGGGTGATGAGGAGATGGCGGTGGACTGCCATCATCATATACCTGAGGACGTTGTTGAGGGGACACATCTCCATAACTTGGAGGCGCCCCTGGAGGACCACCCCCCGGAGGCATCATAGGAGGTGCACCAGTTGCCGGGGGGACACCTTGTGGCATTCCTGGAAGAGAGAATGAAATATATCCTGAGGGGAGAGATACCATCCGGTAACAATCCAGATTGACTTGGCTTAGCACACTTCAAACCTGAAAACTCTCCCCTTTTTGACTCTTTAATTTATTTATTTTTTTGGGAAGGGCACGGGCGGGGGGGGGGG